AGCTAATTAGTGACAGAACTATGATCATAATCTAGGCATCCAATTTAGATTCAATAACCAACTATGTGAATATGCACAACGGGGTGGGTAATATCAGCCTATGGAGCTATGCCGATTCCTCCCTGGGAATCAGACCCACACTGTAACTGCATTGCTGCTATGCTCACACTACTGAATTAAGCACCTTATTTCACTAGTTATCCTTTTCTGACAAAAAATCATGTTTAAGAATGATTTTTCAAAACATTTTATAATTTCTATAATATATTTATTTTAAATATTAAGAAGCCTATAATAACTTATTCTAAACGTGATGTAAACATCTGGCAGCATTAAAATAATCCCATTTACTATTAAGTAAGGATATCTAGACTGTTTTTATACTATTTGAAAATGTTAGTTTTTGATAAGTTTAAACATATTTCATACTATAGCTTTTTTTCACTTGCTACGAATAAAGTACATTGTCTTATACTGTCTATATAAAACCATTTTAGCATCTTTTATTTTCTATCATGTGACTTCCTTACACATTTAAAGAATTTCCACCTAACATGGAGTTTTATCGACACAGTAGGAGACCCAAGTTCTGGCTGTTACTGGAAAGGGGTCCCAATTCAGACCCCAAGAGAGGGTTCTTGCATCTTGCAATAATTAATTCAGGGCGAGTCCACGGCGCAAAGCAAAAGCAAGTTTATTAAGAAAGGTGGTGAAACTATAGATACTCCATAGACAGAGTAGACTATTCCCAAAAGTAAGAGGAAGAATGCACCCGCCCTAGGTACAATGCTTGTTTATCCATAGGATAACAGCAACAACAACAAAAACCATGGGGAGGTGTGCTCTACCACAAGGTTTGTGGTAAAGGATTAATTTTTCTAATTACTATATTTTGCAAGACTCGATATGATTATCTTTAAAGCAAAATTAGGAATGCTTTTGTTCTCAAGATGTGGAGATATCAGGACATTCATGGGCCTGGGTCTGTTTAGTAAACATTATTAATCTGTCCCCTTAACCATAAACTTCTAGAAGCTAGGAATACCTAATCTCCTGGAAATGCAGCCCAGCAAGTCCCAGCCTCATTCTTCCTAGCCCTCACTCAAGATGGAGTCGCTCTGGTTTGAATGCCTCTGACATGGTAACTAGCCTTATTACTTTAGGCAAGTCAGGTTTTCAGTTTTCTCATCTTTAAAAGGAAGCCTGGATTTGCATTTTATTTATTTAGAAATGATAGCTCAATAAAATCATTAGATTACATAGGTGATAGATGGATGGAGATAAATGATAGATAGATAGATAGATAGATAGATAGATAGATAGATAGATAGATAGATAGATAGGATGGATGATTGATGTATCAATCTTACTTGCCAAAGAACAAGGGCCTTAAATAGTCAAATAATTAGAGAGGCTGTCGCTTTCAGGTGACTCTCTACTATACAAGAACTTAGCTTCAGTATGAACAACTTTCAAAATCATTTATTTGTTTTGTGTACAATTTGTTTGGCATATAAGTGTGCAGTAGATCAGTATGGTTGTATTGTTAACAGACTGTCTGAGCAGTCTGTGCTCTCATTAGTTTATTTTCCATTTTTGGCACTTGGCTAAGAAAGACATAAGCATCTGCCACTAGTGGATATACTCAAGAGTTCCCTATAAACATAGAATACCATGAAATAAAAACAGAATGGCGAGGCTGGACAAGATACATAGCTTACAGAGTCACTACTAATCCACAGTCATTTCTCATAAGTTACAGTTTTCTTGCATTTGTGTGTGTGTGTGTGTGTGTGTGTGTGTGTGTTTTCTCTCTTTTTTAGTAGAGGTGCAAACTTGGGCAAGTTAGTTAATATCACAAAATCTGTTATGTCCTCTGGTAGGTAAGCATGAAATTAATTCCTAACTCATGAAATCATTCTAAGAATTAAATGAGGTAACATATTATAATGGTCAGCATTATGCCTGGTATATTTTTAGTGCTTAATCAATATTAGCTAGTATTAACAGTTAACAGTAACCATTAACAATAATGGGGCCAGGCGCGGTGGCTCACGCTTGATCCCAGCACTTTGGGAGGCTGAGGCGGACGGATCACCTGCAGTCAGGAGTTTGAGACCAGCCTAGCCAACATGGTGAAACCCTGTCTCTACTAAAAATACAAAAATTAGCCAGGTGTGGTGGTGGGCGCCTGTAATCCCAGCTAGTCGGGAGGCTGAAGGAGGAGAATTGCTTGAACCCAGGAGGCGGAGGTTGCAGTGAGCCAAGATTGTGCCACTGGACTCCAACCTGGGCGACAGAGCGAAATTCTGTCTTAAAAAAAAAGAAAGAAAGAAAGAAAAAGAAAAAAACAATAATGGTAGAT